TATTAAAAATATTTTTTTTAATTCTAAAGCTTCAGTCTTAAATTTAAATTAAAATTGTATTACTTTAACAGTTCCTTAATAGACCTCACCAAGCTGTTAATCGGAATAACAATGCCCCAAGTAAATATGAAAAGGAAAAATATGGCATCAGAGAAGGGGAATCCCCCACAACACACACACACACACACTGACACACTCACATGGCAGCCATGAATACTAACACACACACACACATTGAGGTTTACTGGGCTGCATTTTCTGCATTTTCCGCAGCAGCAGCGGGAAAAGCAGTAACTGACTGCTGAACTACTGCCAACTGCAATTAATCATTTTTCTATCATTTTCAGATTTTTTTACACACACACACTGGACTGTGTGTGTATGTGTGTGTTCATGGAATAAGTTATGATTTTTCACGATGCTGTTCGACGATTTCGCTTTTCCCCAAACCCCAGAAAATGTTTCCTTTGGAAAATTGCGAAGCCAGGGAAAAAAAGGAAAGTTTGACTTGCTTTGCGGCCAGCTAAAAGGCCTTAAAAAGGCCACAAAGAAATGTCACTAACTAAATGTTTTAAATAAATATTGAATTAAAAATAATAATATTTAGATAAATAAATATCTAGATAAAATTTTACCATTTTTTACAACCAAATATAAGCAATAACAAGTATTTCCATATGCTAGATTTAGTTTTTTAAATAGCCTAATTTGTTGTATAACTTATTATAGTTATTGTTCTTTAACTACTTTAATTTATTGTATAATTTATAGTTTATCATTGAACATAGATTACAAATATAGCAAAATTCTCGTTATAGTTCTTTAACTACTTTTATTATAATGAAATTAACCACTTGCCGCACTGTACTGCCAGATTTTTGGCCTGTCAGCCAACTTTTACTGACAGCCCTAAAACGCACTCTACGCACATGACTTCAAGGATATATGTACTTGGTGTACATGTACATATATATACACATATATATCTAGATATATATCCACATGTGAAGGCATCTGTCTGCTATTAGCCGCCGTAAATTGCATCGTCGCCATCGGCCTAAGCGATTTCTAATGGCGGGGCACAGCGGGCGGCAGCACCAACACATTCTCAGTTCCTCAGAATCGAGGAGTTGGATCTACTCCACAAATGCACTGAAAGAAAGTTTGTGAATATTCTCAATTATAAAAAAAATAAATAAATATTAAAGTACACACAAGAAGCAGTGGAACTAATGTAATTATTATACACTTTTGCGGCTAAATAATTCATTAAGTATAATTATTAAATAAAGACTATGTATTTAATTAAAAACTAGATTTTAATTCCCTTATATTGAAAATTATATTTATATTTGGAAAACATTATTTAATTTTAGAAAATATTTTAATTTATAAATCATAATTAATCTTGAACTCCCTTAGACAAGTGTCTATAACTAAGCTACTAATTAAATAAATATTTAAATAAATAAATATAAATATTTAATAAATATTTTTGATTAGTTTACTATTACCTTGTTTTACGATAACTTAATCTAATCGGCTTAAACAAAATTATTCATCGTTTAAGAACAACAATTTATAATACTAAAACATATTATTCCATATATGTATTTTAAAACACTTAATAGTTTTAATTTTCAAACACTTTGTTAATTTTTTTAAATTAATTTGTATACCCTTGTAGGGTATTATAATTATAGTTAGAAGCTTGTTACTAAGTGAAGGAGTTATTTCCGACCCTATAAATCATATATATTCTTGATCAGCATTAAAAAGCGAATCGATCTAGGCAAGTCCGGGGAGAAAAAAAATTTACCAATTTTTTCAATATTTTATAAGGGATAACATCGTTAAAATTGTCAAAAAAAATGACAAAAATGTTAATTTTTTAGAATTAGTAAATTGAGGATGCAAATAAATTTAGCTTATAAAAACTAACATAGGACAGCTTTCCGAAGTAAAATTAATGCATTTTTGGCTTAGTAATGAGGTTTTGAAACTTTGATTTGTCGAAAATATTGTCATATCAAAATATCAATAAATATCTTGTTAAATATTTAATATTTTAATATTTAAAATATTTTTTAGCTTAGTTATGATAGATTTCCGATTTGATTCTATAATTCGATTGCAAGCCGTAAGCCTATCTTGTTTCCAAACTAGTTTGTTTTGTATTAAATGTTTCCTAAATTTAAAATAAACTTTTTTTCCAATTTTAATATTAAACACTTTTCTTAAATCAATGGCAATTTCCAGCTAGTGCTATTTATAAGTCTTAGTTTTAAATATAATTCTAACATTAAACAATATATAAAAATAATCCGCTAAAAATAGCTTAATTTTTTATAATAATAAGGGAATACTTCATAAAAGTAAACTGTAAAGAAATAATAAAAACAAATATAATAAAATACTACAGCACAATCCTAGCTGCAGCCATATTAAATAAATACATTCATATAACATTCATAGTAGTATAAATTAATGTTAAAACTTTAGAATATAGATATACGTATTGTTAACTTTTTCTTAAAATAATAAATATGATTCCTTTTCATTATAAGGCTATATGCTTGAAATTTACATTCACAATAATGTGCCAATAATTTCTCTCAGTGCACATTTATACAGCTCTTACTACATACATACATATGTAAGTATGGGCACCGCACCACACCAGACATATGTACATAGATTAGGTCAATTTGCTGGTAACTTTTGATGATGCCCCAGCAATAGGAGTCGAAATCGGATTCAAAGCTGACGAAGCAGGAGCAGGAGCAGGACAAGGAGTTGGAGTTGCAGATGGAGATGAAGTGGGAAACTTTCGGCCTGGTCACTCATTGATGCGGATACATCCGGTGGTCCTGGTGGTGCTACCAGTAGTAGTAGTAGTAGGTGGCTCCGTAGGTAGTGTAGTCCTTGGGGGAGGACAATGGGGACTTGGCCATGGCCTCGGTCTCAGTGAGAGTTGCAAGGCATCAACTGCTAACAAGTCAACACAGAGACCAGTTCGGTTCATTCGGGCATTCCCATGGGACATTTGGTCAGTCCGGTCAGGTTAAGTGTTTTATGAACTTGTTTCAATGAAGTCATACAAAGTGCGTGTGTGGGATACACTGATCGAAACTACAAGTATGGAAGTAAATAAAAGAGAAAAAAAGTGGGAAAATGTTCAACAAACTTTTGTTTTAAATAAATAATAATTAAAAGTATTTATACAGCTTTTAAGATTCCAAATTAATTTTATATTTAATAAATTTCGAAATAAAACCTAATTTAGCGTATTACCCTTCAATTACTAATAAAATACATAAAACAAAAAAAATAAAATTTTGTTATTACTCTAAAAATTAAATTTAAATTTTTGCACTAATTAGGAATGGCCATATTGATTAATCAATACTCTTTTGATATTTGACTCGAAACTCGATATATAAATCGATATATTAATGTTGGGTTAAATCGATAATATGTTTGATAAATAAACACAAATAAATAAACTTAATATAATTTTTATAATTCTTCTTAAATCTAACATTTTAAAATTCAATGTGATATTTATCGATATTTAAAATTCCGATACATTAAAGGTAACGATAAATATAGATCCGTAGCATAACTTTCTTTTATCAATATTATGGACATTTTAAAGTTCAATATGATATTTATATATATTATAAAATCCAATATATAAAAGTTCTAATATTTTCTAATGTAATCTAGCCTAATTTATCTGATCCTTTTTTCTTCTCGATAAATATTCCTTAGCATAACTTTTTCTATCGATATTTTGGATAGTTTAAAGTTCAATATGATGTATCACTATATTAAAATTCATGATATTTTTCTATAATATAGAGTTTAATATTTTTGTCTATATAATATATCACACCCTTTTCTCCTTTCGATAAATATAGGTCTTTAGCACAACTTGAATATAGTACCTTACAATTTTATTATAAGTTTTATATTACAGTTTTCTTTCAGTGTACTGGCGGATGTGCAGGTGCCGTGTGGTGACATGTGGCTAGCAGAAGAAGCAGAGCAGGTCCTCAGCAGTGACCGACCATCTCTCGTCTGTTGCCATTGAAGCTTTTAATTTGATTTTCGTTCAAGTGTCGTTTTCTGTGGTTCCCCACCGTCTGTGTCTCTCTCTCCCTCTCTCTGTCCCTCACCATTTTGCGTCTCTTTCTCGATGTGTGTGTGTGTGTGCTTTTGACCATGTTGATTGTACTAAACTTGAGCCTTTGGTCCTGCTCGAACTTCTTCTCCTGCTTCGGTTACGTTTTCCACTTTTTGGCCGGGATTTCACTTGGGTTCCTGTTTCTGTGTCAGTCTCCATTTCTCCTAATGAGGCATTCGTTTGTAACCGAAAAATCTTCTAATTAAAGGCAATACAGTACGCTTGAGGATCTCAAAAGTGTTTTGAACCTTATTACCAAGTGCTGGGGCTCAGAAAACTATTTAATATTGCATTTGGAATGACAGAACCAAGAGTTGAATATTCTTCCTTTTTTAAAATCCTTTTGGGGATGAAATAAGCACTTAATTCAGATGAAAAACTAATTGAATATTTTGTAGATATGTATGTATGTATATATTTTTAAAAATCAATTTTGTAATGATTGTTTATTCCATTAAGTAATAAAATATATTAATACTCAGCACTAAGTATGAAAATGTGTTGCCTACTTTTAAGCGTTGTAAAACAATATATTTCTTAAGTAATGTTTGATTGATGGTAATTTTTATTTGTTAATAAAATAAGAAACCCCAGATAATACAAAATAAATTAATATAAACATTCTTTAAAATCCCTGTTACATTTGTCTTCAAAAACATAATATATATACCCTCAACCTCAACTATTCTTTGCCTTTCAAAGTGCCCACCCAACCAAGTGACATTAAATAAACAATTTAAGTAATTTGCAAATTGAAAAATGCATTTTTGATTAATATAAATACTTGAATACCTATTACCCTACCATTTAGTTATCTTTTAGCTAAAGATGCGAGTGCCACGAAATCGTCAGAAGGCTCTTTTTTGGAGTCAAAAAAATCAAATAAAATCTCAGCCGAAAAGATTGAAAATCTCATGGACTACTTGGAGTCGCATTTTATCCCGAAATACTGATGAATTCTGTCGCAATACCACCATTCATGGATTAAAGTACATTAACAATAGCAAATTACGTAGCACCGATAGGTAAAACTTTAATAATTCTATATACTTAATATAATATTTTAATTATTTTATATTTTACAGATTCTTTTTTGGCATAGCTCTCCTGACGGTTCTGTCCTGTGCCATTTATCTCATACAGGATGCCTTCGATAAGTGGAATACCACGCCGGTTATTGTGGGCATCGATCCGGAACTGACTTCTATAACAAACGAACCATTTCCGGCGGTGACCATTTGCAATCTTAATCAGGCTTTGGCCAAAAAGGTTACCAATTTGGCCAAGAGCTCGATGGAGTTTGCAATGCTGCAATCGTTATGCCGGAAACAAGTGGATCTCAACATGGTCACCGGAAATTCCTCAAATTGGGAGGAGTTTATACTAAATGTGAGTGATTTTTAACATAATTTTTAAAGAATTTCTGAATATTTAAAAAATAGCCAAGCGAAGCTAATTAATTATGTACAGATAGGTTTCACGTTTTACTTAATTTATTAATTTACTTAATTTATTAAATAGATTTCTCAACCCTGCAAATCAATGGTAATTGCCTGTCATTTTGGCGCCGATGATTATGAATGTGCACGATTATTTCATCCCATTGTCACTGATGAAGGTCTCTGCTGTGTCTTTAATATGCTTCAACCAAAGTTTATGTATCGAAAGAGGTAAAAATAATAACTATAAATATTTATCTATATATATTTATATTTATAATAAAGCTTCTCAGCTTGATTCCTTTCACCTTTTAAGTCTTGCAACCAAATCTAAAAGGTTTGCATCCTGACTACTTTAAAATAAATTCAAATTCAAAAGCTTTATTGTCCAAAGGCCGCTAAAATGAATTAATTAAATTAATTATTATATTTCCTTTCACCTTTGGTACTCACAGCGTTCCTCTTTCCCATCGCAATATGACCCTCCCCCTGGGTTTTCAGTCTGTAAATTGGCACGCCGAATTGGGCTACCGGCGACGTGGTTCTCCGACGGATGAAGGTATATCCCTGTATCCACGTCGTGCCCAGGGCACAGGTGAATCGCTGGGACTATCGCTGACCCTCGATGTCCAAGCGGATGCCTACTACTGCTCTTCGTCGAGCAGCATTGGCTTTAAGGTCGCCCTTCACAGTCCCAACGAATCACCAAATGTACGCGAGACAGGACTCCTGCTGGCACCCGGCATGGAGACGAAATTGCGAATAGATCCGGCAAAGATTGTCACGGAGAAGCACTTGCGTTGGTTGGATCGCAAGTACCGGCGATGTTTGTTCCGGAATGAACTAAGACTCCGCTGGTTTGCTCACTACACTCAGAGAAATTGTGTGGCGGAGTGCCTTTCCGGCTGGTTGCTCCGTCACTGCGGCTGTGTGACTTACTATATGCCGCGACTCCACTGGAATGACACCACTTGTCCAGTGGGGAAGCGGGAATGTGTGGAGCTAATCCGTTTCAGGACCATCGAGGCAATGGAGTCCTGCCTGGAGCAGTGTCTGCCTTCGTGCTTTGATTTGAACTTTAACGGGTTTGCGTATTCCACAAAGATCTCGCATGATGGCTTTCGGCAGACGCATCCGAATGGCCGATGGAATTTCACGGATGCGTATGTGGAGCGCAGTGTGGCGGTGGTGAATATGTACTTCAAGGAGCCTGCTTTCCGAGCCAACAAGCAAACGGAATTCATAGGCTTTTCCGATTTCTTGTGTTAGTATTATAAAATATATAATTAAGAGTATTAACTTATTAAATCCTTTATATTGCAGCTTGTGTTGGCGGTCTAATGGGCCTATTTTTGGGCTTTAGCTTCCTATCCATTGCCGAATGTGTTTACTTTGCCTTGATACGTCCCTGTCGCACTTGCACGGAAATCAGACAACTTAATCAACAGAGGACACAGCCCCTGACAGGTCATATTAGATATATAACACCGGGAAATTGGTTCCAGGCCGAGTTGGCCCCACAGCAGGCCAAAAGGCTACACTTTAATCCTGCTTAAACTTAACATTATTAAGGCTCTAATCTAGATGAGGTCCCAGTACTTGGTCACAACCTCATTTTTGGGCAGCGCCAAACTCTTGGGACGTTCGTAATTTAAAGCAAATTGCTTGGCCTTTGTTTGCAGCTCATCGTCAAAAATCTGCAAGGGAGAAATATGATTATAATATATATTAATAAATAATTTAAACACACTTACATTGCATTCCTTTCTGTCCAGTAACTCCCCCAGGTCGAACTCCATGACGGGCAATGAGGAGTTGATGAATCGTGCAGCATTTGCCACCTCGGGAACAGCATGCTTTTGCAGCAAGGTAATCTCCCACAACGAACTATTGATGGCCTGCGATTTAACCGGATTCGATTCCTCCTCATCATAGGGATCGCTGATTTCATCTGCTGCCTGAGTCGAACGTATTAATTGCTGGAGGCCAGTGTGACGCAAAAGAAGGTTGCAAACGAAACGAATCATGATGACGGCATCTTCGGTGGGCGATTGGAGGGCGAGGCGAGCTAGTCGCTTCACAAAGGCAGCCACTAGATTCTCCGGCAAATGCGTGGAGGTCAGAAAGATATCGGCGAGATAGAAAAGGCGTGCCTTGTACTTGTTGTAAAACATCTTGGGATAGAACATATTGTACAGCTTCTCGTAGACATCCGGATAGGTGACGTTCTGCTTTTGCATCAAGGTGAAGAGTCCCTGCAGGGCAAGCAGGGCAATGGGACCATCTGAAAGGGAATAGTTTATAAATTAGAACTTTAACTTTTGAATTTACGACTTAATACAAACCAAACTGATGCAGGGAGTCCATGAGGAAGTCCGTCAATTGAATGGGATCCTCCAGATGGTTGATAACCCTCTCCAGCAGAACCACCAGGATCTGGCGATGTAACTTTTCGTCGACCCCGCTACTCTTTAGCATTACAGCTGCCCATATGTCGTTCAGTCTTTTGGCACACTGCTCCACGTTGAAACTCTTTTCTTTCGCCGTTTCCACGTGATACTCTGCTGCTTTTAGTACTGACTTGCCCAGATCGATGAGGTTGACAAGGGACAGGAAGTTCATTGCCTTGATGGGTGCATCCTTAAAGTCCTCCGTGGGCACCAGATGCACCAGATGCTTTAGGGAAATATCCAAGACATCTAGATTCTTGCAGTACTTCCCGTAGTTTGTTAGGGCATTTGCAGGTATCTCTTCCTCGCTATCCAGCAGGGTATCCAAGATCTCACGAACTCTGTGGGCTGGCCAACCCTTTCGCAGTGCTATTGGATGCTTGGCCTCCACCTTGATGAGCTGGAAGCAGACCTTCAGGGCCACGGCACTCTCCGCCAGCAGGTTCTCCCTCAGAAGCAACCACGTTTCATCGTATAGTTCGCGAATCTTTAGCGTCTTCCCTTCGGTGCCGTCCAGAGCTCTCCGTTTTAGTAGATTCTTGAATATGACTTCCAGTACATTCATCACATCGGCGGGTTGCACATGGTCAGGTTTCTCCTTCTGCTTACCACACATATATATCAATATATTTAAATTATTTAAATGGTTTAATAACTAACCAGCAGTTGAACGAATGCCTTGAGGCCTTTGATGTCCACATCCTTGGCATTCAGCAGGGAATTCGCTTTTGTCTGCAATTGCTTCTTGGCCAGGGGCTCCTCCTCGAGATCCTCACTCTTTTTCGTCGCAGGTCGTTTCATTTTTCTTTGATTTTAGGGAGTTTTAACGATTGAATTCCAAAGCAAAACAAAAAATAAAGAAACATGCGGCGGGCTGGGAATAGTGTGACCGTAGTGAAAAAGTTGATATATACCATAATATATGGCTAGTTTGGCGTGAAAAGGGCTAAAAAAGGTCTTATTATGCTATAAATCTAGCTATTCTGTTATAATTCAAATACTTTTTCCCAATTTATGGATAATATGAATTAAATATTTTATAAAAATGAAATTTAATAATCTCCCTGGTCTTTCTAGTTAATTATTTTCTTAATATATTTTATAGAGTAACTAACTTTTGCTTTTGAAGCATTACAATCATGTACAATAATATGAAAATGTAACAAATTTTAAATGAGTAATTCTTTAAATCAAAATAAAAGATAATCGTTTAAATTAAAGAAAACTTAAAACTTAGCTTTAACATTCTAAATAATATCTGTATCTTAGTTCCTTTGGAAATAAATTCAATAATAACAAAGCTATAACAGTTTTCATATTACTTTCCTACATTCAAATAATTCTATGGCAACTTAAGATCTTACGGTTCCAACTTACCTATATATTATCTTTAAAATAAAAAAAAAATAAATCATCTCTAAACTTTCTTTACGATTATAAAACTGAATAGATTTGCATTCAAATATAATATTTGGATTTATATATATATAATATAAATAACGTTGTCCCCGAAATATAATATAATATTAGATAAAAATAATACTTACGACCCATAAATGACGCTTGATTGTAAAAATCACGAAATTATATAGACCCGTAATAATGAATGGAATTATGAAATAACCAGTTTGGGGATCATGACAGTAAAAAAGAGTTTAAAATCATTCCAATACTTAATCAGTGGTTTATTCTATATATACAGTTTGTGATAATCCTTATCTAATTGTCGCAATGAAAACGGATTATATTGCACTTGAAATACGCATAAAAATCGATGATATCTTGTGGGAAATTTCGCAAGCTATAAAACGATCATATCTCTGGGAATTTAGCAGTGAAATTGATTTGCGATTAAATTTATGGTCTTTATAAAAGCTTAAAACAATAACAAGTGGATTTATGAATGACTTGTACTATAGACTTTATAGGGGAACTTTGTTACAAAAAGTGACGACAAAAGCAGGAAAGAAAAATTGATTGGGTTTGAGAGAGGGGAAATTAAGAGAACTCATAAGTAGACTATTAAAATTAAATTATTATTAAATTAAAATTAAAATCCCCATTTCCAAGACTAGTTGACCCTAAGTTAGAACTTTATAGTCTTTTAATATAAACTTCCATTATCCAAGAGGGTTTATTTTATTTTAAACTCTTTACTTAAATTTATGGTCTTTATAAAATGTTAAAACAATAACAAGTGGATTTATGAATGGTTGATACTTTAGATTTTATAGGGGAACTTTGTTAAAAAAAGGGACGTAAAAAGAAGGAAAGAAAAATGATTGGGTATGATAGAGAGAAATTAAGGAAAATCATATGTAGACTATTAAAATTAAATTATTATTAAATTAAAATTAAAATGCCCATTTCCAAGACTATATATTTGACACCTTAACTCCAATCAGCTATAGAAATGGCATAATACTTTGGATATTATTTTATATATTAAAAAATAAAGAAACACATTTATTTCAAATCGCAACCAAGACTCAAACCAGGCCAGTTCGAGCGAGATAGATATAAATTTAGAACTTTATAGTCTTTAAATTTAAACTTCCATTAAGATATAAATTTAGAACTTTATAGTCTTTTAATTTAAACTTCCATTATCCAAGAGGGTTTATTTTATTTCAAACTCTTTATTTTTTTAAGGGCAAAGTTTTAGCTTTCAATATCTTATCCTATATTTATCTTTATTGAATTATTTTTCAATATTCAGAAACTTAGTGTTCCCTCTCCATTTTTAACATTTAAACCACAATTTTTCTTTTGTTTTGATTGCCTAAAAACTTTAATAAATAAAACTAACTACACAAAAAAAAAAAAATTGGTTCGCATGTGGATACAACAAAAATTCGTCTCAGGGCAAGCCTAGGCCTTGGAGGGATTCTCAACGCTGCTGGATTCGGGAGTGATTTCCGCCTTGGTCTCTGCAGCTTCCGTTTCTAATTTGGTTTCGGGCTCAGCAGCAGCAGCAGGAGCTGCCTCCGGGCAGTCCTGGCCATCTCGCCGGGAGTGGGTTTTTGGGTGCCGGCTTGGGCGAACCCCGACCGAAAATGGCCTTCTCAATGCCCAAAATGGGGGCCTCAAAAGCCAAAGTGGCAAAGATGGAAGCGGTCAAAGTAATGCCAAAGTCATGCCACCAGCGAAGGATCTGTGATTGAGGGATTACAGGATTTAAAAAATACATAAAATATATAAATTTAAATGTGGAATAATAATACTTACCGCATCATAGTTGGAGAAGTGGGTGTCCGTCTGCAGACGAGCGGCATTCACCAGCTGGACAATGCGATGGATCACATACATGCAGTAGGTGAGGCGACTGAAGCCGGTGAAGAAACTCCACGAGAGGAAGTCATTCACCAGACCTCCATGTCCATTGTAGCAAGCCCAAACAATCCAACCGATGGCCAGGGCCCAGCCTGTCCTGCTCAAAGGCTCAAAGAAGGCACCCTCAATCAGCGGGGAGTCAGGTGTATCCGGCAGGATGCGCCAGTAAGGACCCCACATGCAAGCCAACATAGTGCCAAAGGCCACAAACCAACCAGTCAACACCAAGGGCTTGGACATTGGGATCTGACGTCCACGGTTCCGGGTGAACAGGAAGTAGCCAAAGATCACACCAATCAACCAGGTGGGAATGCGAGTGTGCGTAGGATAATAGGTCATCCTCTGACGCAGATCGACACGATCATCCTGGACACGGAACAGTGTGAAATCATAGATCATAAAGGTGGCAAAGGTGCCGCCAAGGCAAATAATCAAAAAGATGACAATGGGCACCAAAGCCTTTTTGCCCCATTTCCACAGGGGTATAAGGAACAATGGCGACAGGAAGTACAGTTGTGTATCCACGGCCAAGTACCAGGATTGGGTAATGCACTAAGTTAAGAGGGAATTTCATTATTAGAAGGTGTTTTTAAGGAAAACGAATCAATAATCACTTACAATTCTGTAGGGAACGGCATAGTTCTGAACGTAGAGCAAAGTGGCCCACCAGTTCTCCTCGCAACGTTGATCCTGAGTGCCCAGTTTGAACCACATGGGACCCGCTCCGGAGTACTTGTACAAGGTCAGGGTATACAGGACCACCACAGCCACCACGGGAGTGAGGCGAATATAACGATGGAAATACATCATTGGGATATTCAACTTGCCCTTCGTCCTCTCCATTTCACGGAAGGCACCCCAGCACATCAGCAAACCGGACATAAAGAAGAACGTGTCCACACACAGGGAGCCATTCTGGACGAGCATCGAGAAGGGGGTTTGGACCCAAGTATAGAACCGATTCTTATTGATGTGCGGCAGATCGTAGAAGGTCATGTAGCCATGGCCAAAGACCACCCACATCATGCTGAAGCATCGCAATCCATTCAGGCAATGAATAACATTCGGATTATTCACCTTCTTCACTGTGAATATCTTGGGAGCATTCGTGAGCACAGAGAAGGCAACCAAAAGGGGTTTTTTGGGAGCTAAACAAAAAAGGAGGGTAAAGTGTGATTTCCCTTGAAACTCTCTTGAGATCTCTCACAACTTACCTCCCTTGCGGGTCTGAATATAATCGTAGACACTGGCAGCCACCATGAAGAATATAATCAAACTGAAGAACACACTAGATATATAGGAAAATATTATATTAACTAAAATTCATATGGTAAAGTATTTAAATCTCCTACTCACATGGCAAAAATATCAATACCCCTTAATTGGATTGGAGCATCATATTTGCACCGCTTCTCTGTCACCATGGTATCATCCAAATTGATTGTATCGGTGCCATACATCTTGGCAATGACATATTTCAACAGTTCATCGGTTTTCTTGGCACTGCATGTCGTTGGAACACAAATGCCCAACTCAAAGACCTGAGGATCCGTTTGCTTGTAACTAATTCGATTAAACTCCTCACCGCGTTTCTTCACACTCGAGTAGTATTCGGTTATATTCAAACTGGTCAGACAATACTGTCCACGAATCTCGGTGCCATAGGTACTGGTGGCAGCCACACATTCCTCATACTGACCCATGCTGATGGTGTGACCCCAGAAGAGACCCATGGGCAGGCGACCCCATGTATCGGGAACTGAATGAATATTAAAAAAATAATAAAAAGGTGAGTTTAAATCTAAGATATAGTTATAGTTATAATTAGGGTATATTAAACCTTAAAGAAAATAGCTCCTAAATATATTTATTCTGCACCTGCATTAGCGATAAGCCCTGAGATTGCAGTGATTTGATATGAAACCTAGGAAAGATACGATTACGGATTATGATTGTTCGATTCAACTAATTTAATTTACAAGACCCATAAATCATATTGCACTCGATGGCGGCATTCATGAATGGCTTTTTTTAAGCCCAGACTTCATAAATTATGAAACTTCATAATCCAAATCGACCTATGAAACCCACTTATTTACAGAACCTGTAAATCATAATGCACTTGCTGCGACAATTATAAATGGATTTGTAATCCCAGAACCATAAATTATGACCTAAAACCCCAAAAAAAACTCTGTGTTATCTTATCCAGTTTCATCTTGTATCAGTCGGGATTTAATAATCGCATTAAATCCAAATTGATTAAAATTCCCCACAAACTTGAATGCAAATCAAATTATCACGCCGATCTAATCGCTCACAAAATTCAGTAAAAATCATGGCTAATTTGGATTTATGAATTGCCAATTGGCCATAAAGATTAAGGAAAAATGGTTAATAGCACAAGTGGCAACGCGACATTAATAAAGAAATTATGTTAGGTATTGAATTAAAATTAGAAGTGAATCAGAAGGATAATTAATAAGTTGGTTTATAGAAATTCGAAATAAATAAGCAATATTTTTGTTATTTATGTATTGCAATTCTATTCTTGCAATTATAAAAACTATTTTGTAATCAGCAAACCTCTTCTTTTATATTAAATAAAATAAAATTAAATCACTTTTTAATACACACAAAACTCTTGCTTCAAATATAAGATGAGAAAAAATATATCGAAAAATATTACGATCAAAATCATAAGGTATTGAAATTTGTAGTAAAAATTTTAATAATATCGAAATTGCTAATCAAAGTAGTGAAGACGTTTAAAGAGGATGAAATTTTTAATGTATCCAAAAAAATAGGGATTTATTGCAAAGTTATCGATTTATATATCGGTAAGGACGATAAATTTTAGATATTTTATTATTATCTTTTAGCACCAATCTTTGTTTTATTTTTCAAAAATCACTGATCACTAGAGAAATCAAAGTTATCTGAAAATTATTGCTTACATTCCAGGGCCCACTCCTCCATATTGTCGATGGCATCTCGAATGCGATTGATATCCTGCAGACACTGGGCATCCTCCTCCTCATCGGCACGACCAGCATAACCGAGTGCCAATTGGGTCTCATTCTGGGCACCACCGGTGGTGGTCATCTTCTGGGAGGCCAGACGATAGAACTGATGGGCCATGCTATCCTTCATGGGATTGGAGTAGCCCGAAAGGAGGTCTTGGGCGCCAACGGCCGCGATCAGCAGCGCGGCTGCAAGGACACCGAACGAACCCTTCATGGTCCAGGAACTGAATGAATCTCGGACAGAGGACAGGATAAAACGGAGACGCGGCGCGGCCACCGGGGGCGAGTTAAGGACTGGAACTGAGTGGGCGTTCGGATGGATCGATGCCTTTTATAGGCTTTGTATAGCTTTTATAGCCTGCTGATCGTCAGATTGGAGTGTTGGCACTTGAGTGGCCAACGCGATGACCAAGCACCGGCCGCCCCTGGAGTCTATAAATATTGCCGGTATGGAGCAGCTACTGGTCTTGGAGTCTCCGATAAGGGGATGGTAGTAGGGGTCCTCCACCTCCTCCTTCTCCACCAGCGTCCGCTAATCAATTGGCTTGCATTGGGCACTTTATCGCTAACCGGGTGTCTTATCTGGCCAAAAGCCCCTCCAATCCCTTCGATCGTTACCTGGTGGATTCACCGGACTCGATGGATTCGGTCGGTCGCACGGACTCTGGTTCTGGTTCTGGGCGTTCATAAATCCATGTCACATTGGCCAAAATAGTAATCACAGTTCGATTGCAAAGCAATAGAGGAAAGACCATAAAAAAAATATATAAAATAAAGACGATCCCAACAGTTAGATTCCGTTTAATTAAATTACCCGTCTTGGGGACTTTGCTCCCTAGAGCTCCGCACACCTGAACAGACAATTATCGGATAATTTTCAGTTGGCCAACGATATAGAAAGTCAAGGTCAACTCAAGGAAGGTGCTACTGAAAATAGTTTAAATCGAAATGATTGGCATTTTAGGAATGATATCGAAGTGGTCTGGAAAAGATAAACCCCAGAAATGAATACATAATAAGAGCGTCTTGAAGGTCTTAGGTTGAAAATTACGTAAAATGATGGTAGAAATCTATTTAAAAAAGACAATTTCTGATAACTTATTTATATATTAAGATATAATACTTATTTGCGGGTACTTACTGGTTACCTTAGTATACAAAAATAAGACTAAAATTAAATTAAAAATAAATTTGAGTCAAAAATAAGATAAGAAACAAGAGAGTGATATGATACTGTTTAGTACCATGAATTTAGTTACGCTCAGGCCAAGGCACGTACTATATTATATTGTAGATATTTTAAAAAGATACTTTGGGTATTAAAATAGCCCTAATACTATTCCAAAAAAATCCCCTCCCATTTGAAGGCGTTCCCAGAATTTAAATAATCTTTTGAGAAGCCGCTTCAAGGAGGTAAACAAAGCCACAAAATGCACAATCAGACAAATATTTCATTTAATTTTTATAAGTATTAAGTAATCGAGGCAAGGCGGTATCTCCGATCCGAGAGAGGCCACTTGCCGGTGTCTATTGAGATCGAGTGCCGGTGGCATTCGCCTCTGGATGACACTCACTTCAGATGGAGTGGTTGGGTGTCCGCCAAAGAAATTTGTTTATGGCGTGGGAATAGATCGTTAAAGTACACCCGTGACTTAATCTTATCTAACGATTACAGATTATAACCAACCGGTTACTGACACTCCTCTTTCTCTCATTCCGGTCCGTAGATTTACAGGCAAGAGAAGAAGGAAATCGGGCCGAAACTTTTCCATGACCAAAGAATCTCAGCAGAATTCCGGGGTCCATAAATTAAATGATACGGTTGGCAAGCAATACATTTTTGAGAGGTAAAGTTCAAATTGAATCAGCTTTAAGTTGCCTTGAATGAATCATTGATATTTTGTTTAGTTAAAAGCTTATGTTATTAATTTAATTTATAACTTACCATGAACTCTTTACAGGGTCCTGTGATCTTCTGTTTCCCCTAAACTCTTGATAATCCATAATAATAAGGTTTCCCTTACAAAATAAACAAAGTATACCCTATAGAAGAATCTCTTATATTTCTATATAATCTTATATTTTATTGGTTTATTTCCTATAACTTTATCTTACTGATGATTTCACTGCAATTTTGCCACCAGTTGGACTTTACGACCCCCCGCTGAAGGTCTTTTGATGTGGCCACCCCATACTCCAAAATGGAGCGTTAACCTATCGGGAATCGGATTCGGATCCGGGTGATTTCGATCGAAGAACGTCAATTGGGCCCCAGGGCACTTGAAAATGTTTTCGACACATTATTTATAGTTGTTCCATGTGACGATGGCACGGGTTGATAGTAACGGATAATTCCCAGCAGAGCACTCCATATAAGAAATCAATCCATATATTCTATATATGTAAGAAGAAAACGTTTCGGTGAGGACTTTGCACCCAAACAGCCGTAGTTTCAGCCGTAATTCTCCCGACTTCCGCCTGGAGATATAAGCTCAATAAAGTTAGTGGTAGCCCAGGGAAAGTGAGGCCATAAATCCAGTGGGTAACGTGAATCATATTGCTCCCGGACAACCAGAGTAGCCACGATTCCATTCAAGGGCCTGCTGTGGGTTTCCAGTTTGAAGAAAAAACCACCTGTTTCTCCTTATCATCTCTGGCTAACTGCGTTTTGCTTGAGAGTTATATTTAAATTTAAACGTGGTTGGGATAGATGGAATTCGCGGTAATCGACACAAATTTGTTGCTGTTCCTGCGATTAGCCCCGATGCTTATGTCATCTTGGCTTAATCTTTGATTAACTAAAATGCAGGTGAAAAGATAAGGGTATCAAAATCTTAAAAAAACCAGAAAGAAAGGTAAGAAAGCTTTGATCAGTGAAGACTGTGAGATTCCCAGTAGCCAAAGCTATTGTGTGTTAAAATATAAATATTATCAATATTATAAAATAATATTAAAAGAAAATCTAAACACCTATAAAATAGAATACGAAATTGTCCTGGAATTCATTGCTTCAAAGCAGGGATGGGCACGCAGTGGCTCTTTCTGCTCCTGTCAGGAAATTTTATGAGAAGGACGTTGCTCAAGTTCAATCCTTAAAACTTTACAGAAACAATGCCACTGAAATTTAGGCTTTCGAGAGTTTTCAAAAACAAATCATGTGTAGTTTTTTGAAGTGCCAGTCTGAAAAATTATATTATTATATTACTTTGCTTTAAAATTTCAACTCCAGCCCCACAATAATAACCACAAATATGCTTCTTTTTAATTTCATAATTTTTATTTAAATTAATTTATTTTACACTTTCAAGCAAAAGTATTTAGTTAATTACAGTGTTGTTGTTGGTTTCTTTTATTTTGTTGTTTTTGTTTGCTTTGTTTTGTTTTCGCTTGGTTCGCTGTGATTTTGGATCAATACGACAAAAAAAAAGAATGAAAATATAGTAGGAGATAGAGATTGGTAGAAACAATAATAATATTAATAATAATCATCGTAATAATAGTAAAAAAAATATTTATATATTTATTTTTTAATCATACACTCATTAATGAATGTGCATGCTTATGTGTTTGTTTTTGTTTTGTTTTTTGTTTAGTTGTGTGTGTGTTGGGGGCGGGGGTTTAAGGGAGTGTAGGATGTGGGTGTGTACAATTAAATTAATGAAATCTGATAGAAAAGTCAAAAGTCATCTTATCAGCTTAACTGTCGCACTATTTTACAAGTAGGTATTATGTCGTAACGGTTTCTCAATTTCCTTTTATCATTATCGTTATCGTAATCATTAGCATAAACATTATCGTACTCATTATTAATATTAGTTATTAGTATCAATCGTTTTTGTTTTTCATTTCGTTTGTTTTCTTTTATTTTGTTTTTTGTTGTGGTTGTTGTTGAGTTAGAACTAGTTTTTACTAAGGCTTGGTTTACTTTACACTTGACTTATCTAGGCGTACCACCTTCTTCTTCATCTTCTTCGTTCGCAATTGTTTGTGTTCTCCCCCATCTAGGAGTCCTTCGTCCTTCTTTTTTTGTGGGTTTTCTTGATCTTTTTTTTGTTTGTTATAAGAAATTACATTTGTATGCATAATAATAAACGCCGTTTAGCAAAGTGCTCCTATATCTCCATCGATTTCATGTTTCGGTTAACGATTTTTTCCGCTGCTACTGCATTTAGAATAAATGTTCATATATATAATTTACAATTGTTCGCTTATCTAAGATCCTTCATATATCATATATAGTATATATATATATTTTTTTATATATACGTGTGTGTGTATCCTAAACGCGTGTGTGTTATCGATCGTACCTATATAAATGTGTATATAGCGCTGGCTTTAGTCTACGGCTTACGCTCTAGTTATCATCTTATTCCCGCTTTATGTTTAATGCGCTTTGTGTTGCTTCTATGTTTTCTGGTTTACTTGTTTCCACACTTTCTCATCATATATAATTGTAATCACAAATAGTTTTGGAATATGCTCTCTCTCTATCTCTCTCTCTCGCTTGCTCTACTTTCTTCCGCCATCTTTATCTTTCGAATGAACAGAATGATCCTTGATTCGCTCTCACTCACTCACACTCTCGCGCTTTCTCCTTTCTCTCTGTCTATCTCGTTCACACTCATAACTTTGTTCATTGCCTGACTGTGGTGATAAAAAAAAAAACAACAAAAACAATGCGGAGAAAAAATACGTTTAGCAGCGTTCTCTTTCTCATGCTCCTCGTTCTTTCTCTTTCTTTTCTTTCTTCTTTTTTTTTTGGTTACTATCGTGGGGTTTGCTGCGCCCGCTATTTCGATTTACCGATTATATGTTTATTTTTTAGTTTTATTTTAATTCTTGTTTTTTTTTTATTTTTGCTACCAGCACGCGGCGTCTGCGATTTGAAGGCAGCGTCATGTTATCGCAACTATATCGATTACCGATGGCAGATAGATTCCGATGATCAACCGCCGATCGATAACGATACCGATTCTCATTGTTTTACATACGTTAAAAGTACAAAGGCATTCGGCGGCAGAGCCCAGTGACTTGAGTATGTTTGGTTTTTCTCACGATTCTATATAATATAATATTTAAATTTTAATGTTTTAATTTAACTTGAATTATTCTTAGTTTTTTGTTTTTGTTTGTTTGTTTTTTTTTTTTGTTATTTGGTGTCTGTTTTGATTGTGTGCAGCGCAGCGTGGGTTTTGCATACATTCCTTAATTTCTTTTTAATCGGTGGCAGGCGCAGCTGTTTTTTTTTGTTTTTTATCTTTTGGTTTTCAAATTGTTCTTATTTTGTTTGTTGTCTTTCGCTTAGCTAAGGAAACTACGCGCGTTTCGATTAAAAACACACTAACTAAATATATATGTATATATATATATATATCGCGATATATATCCTATGCGCATGTGTGTGTTTGTCGGTGTGTGGAGAGAGTAGATCTATAAATATATATACGATATAACCGATATATACGACTTAAAATCTAGGGCATTGGATTTTACAAACTCTACTTTTCTAATCAGTAATATGTGTATGTAATATATATATATCTATATATATATATCGTGTGTACTTGTATCTGTATGTTTTGTGTTGGGTATTTACAATTAATGTTAGTTACTTGCTTGATGTCGCAATTGAAGGCATTTTTATGCGCAGTGAATAAGTTATCCTAGTATTTTAAAATTTACAAAATTCCCTCTTTCTGTTCTTTTTTTTATTTTGTCTCCCCTCTCGCTCTCTCGCTGACTCTCTCTGTCCCTGTCTGATTCTTGGGCGGCGGCAACTTGTACAAAGAAAACAGTTAGAAAATGAAAGCAATCCATCTCTTTCCTACCCACTTAAATCCGAACAATAATATATGTAGAAGAAAATCATATATATAGACATAATATCCGATCCGATTAATTAAAGAACCCATTTGAAAGCTACAGACTATGTCTAATAAATAGCGGTAAACCTAAATCGTTATTCTAGGTGTTTTTTTTTTTTGTTGTTTGTTTGTTTGTTTAGCGTTAATAAATAGCAATCGCAATCTTGGAACTCTTATTCCCTTATTCCATTACCAAAAATGATCCATTAAACTTGCGGCTTTTTGAGACAAATTGGGTTTTGGGGTACTGCTCATCATCATCCTAATCCTTCGCTCCTTTCTTTTGGCTATCACAAAATCAAATACTAAGTAAAACATTAAGTTATGTACATGAAAAAAGATGTAATTCCAATTAATGTTCTGAAAAGGGAGACTCATTTAGGAGGACTTAAAAGAGGTACCAAGGGGGACAAACAAAAGTCGTAGACATAATTTTCGGTGATAAACTATTGCAACAAAACACACAATAGGCTCTAACATTATGATGATTTTTAAAAGTTTTAAATTGTATAATTTTTAATATAAGTAATTGGATTTATGGTGATTTTTAAAAGTTTTAAATTGTATAATTTTGTTTATAAGTAATTGGATTCATGGGCGTGATAAAACCCTTAAAGCATTTTGAAAATTTAGCAAAATTTTGGCTTGATTTGAATTGCAAATAGACATTAGTAGTTTCGCTTAAAGAACATTGGAAATTGTAATGTAGATTTTATGTTAATAATTTACTCATCCAAAGGGAAGAGTTTGACATAATTTATAATTTTTTCAAAATATTAATAATTTGGCTATGCAATTTTGAAAGGACATAATAATAATTAAGGAATTAACAGTGAGGAAATCAACAAATTGGTTAGAATTATAAATTTGAAATAGATATATAAGTAATGTAAATAAGTTATACAGGTCTCTATAATTTTGGCTGCAGTTGTAACACAAAAGGGGACAATACAATTTTACTTAAACAATAAAATACAGAGACATTGACGTTTAATTGACAGCTAACATAAAAATTTGAATCTAAACTTGGGACAAAACAATAGGTTTAAAAGGAATGACGCAATTTTTTTTTGGTGTACCTCCCAAAGTGAGTCTTCCGCCTTGAATTAAAATGAGGAATTTAGGAAAGCACACACACTCGCATCCACACACACACACACACACTCACACACGCACACGCTCACACGGGGGCGGTACAATATACAATCGATTATGAACAATTTGTTAAAATTACAAGTCTAATTTGTTGTCCTACGTATGAATATATATATATATATTTACATGAATATATATATATATATATATGTTGTAAATGTTAAATCGTTCTTAATTATTTCAAGTACCCTAAAACTGTATTCAAAGCATTTGGCTATTGCTATTGGTTGCTCATGTTAATCATATTCCCTTCGTAACGTAACGCTCCTCCTGTTTGGTGTTTTCATATGCTACTATCCTGATTTCTGATATTCCCTATTGCTATCTTGTATCCTGATCCTAATCCTCTCTCTCCAATGCTCATTTATTGTTGCCTGTCAAATTGGAAGTGATTTCTTCTGGGGGATCTGGTTTTTGAGGATTCCGTTCGATTCGTGTATAAAAATATGTAATGTAATGTTATGTTATTTAACGTGTTCCCAATTTGAAGCTCCTATAAGGAGCACTTTTGCTTAATCTCAAACTGCCGATCGATCGCCGAACAGGCACATTTGCTTTCGTTACATTTTGTATAGGCTATATGTATATATTCTTGTGCGGATGCGGTTTCGGATTCAAAAGGGTAGTCTGTTCTCGTCCCGTCTTGTCTTACAAACTCTACAAGGGTACAAAAAACCTAGATCAACTTTACAACACACACATTCGGAAAAACGATCTCTATATAGAGAATATAGATTCTGTTCAATATTTTGTGTACAATTTGAAATGATTCTTGACTAATTTGTATATATATATTTCGACATAATTGTAATGCCCTAAAAAGGAAAAGTATCCTTTCTAGGGATCGACGTTAAACGTCCTAACATCCCTCACTAACTCTGCCGTGCTTTCCTATCTTTCTCTTTCTTGAAATTTGGAACGAACGTAGGATTTAATTGGGATTAATTAACTAACATATGAGGGGGTGTGTGTTTGTGTGTGTGTGTGTGTGTGTTTTAGACAAAAGATATATATTGCATTTGTAAATATATTGGCTATTACGCGGTGGTTTTGTAAATGGAAACCAAACATAATGATAATAATGATTGCTGCTGCTGCTTTGATCAAAAGCTGTCCTAAACTTAATTCTAACGCGGGGCATAGGGGTAAAGTTGGGGGCTGTGTCTTATCCTACGGTACACATTAGTTGTGATAGTTCAAATCATAATATACAATCATCATAGAGTAGTTAGTCGCAATCGTTTAACACACACACACTGGTGATCCCTGCTGGTCTGGTCCGGTCTGGTTGGAAAGTGCTCCTTAGCCTCAGTCTGACCAGTGCTACCACCCGTTGTAGCTGCTGCTGCTGTTGCTGCTGCTGCTGTTGCTGCACTAAAGCCTCTCCACAAACTTGGTCAGTTGATCGGAGGCATCGGGCAGGGCACCGCCGGCATTTCCAACGTTGACGCCCACACCCACGCCCACGCCAACGCCGACACCGACGCCCACATCCTGCGGCACTCCCGGCAGCGGCGACTGATGGTGCAGTCCATGGTTGTGCATGCCATCATGCGGCGGTCCTTGCGGCGCCGGTGAATGGCTACTCATCACATGATGCGGCGAGGGCTGTGCCCGTGGCGAGGCGGATGGAGCTGCACGCGGCGAAGGAGCTGAGCGGGGCGACGGCGTTGGCTGCGGCGAACGGATGGGCGGTGAGGCGCGAGCCGACTGCATCATCTGCTGCTGAAGGGAGTGCGGCGTAGGCGGCCCCATCACCTGAGCATTGGGGCCGCCCACCACCGCTGATGGATTCTGGACATTGGTATTTGGCATCGTCACCTGTATCATCTGCTGCTGCTGCAGAGGTTGCTGCTGCTGTTGTTGCTGCTGCTGCTGCATGCCCGGCGGCATGCCAACGCCCATCTGCTGTTGCTGCTGACCGGGACCGGGCTTCACGCCAACGCCAACCCCAACACCGACTCCAACTTGTCCCTGCTGCTGCTGCAGCATATTGGAGGCAGCCGCATTGGCCATCGAGTATTGGTCGCCACCGACGGGACCGGCTGCCCCACCGGGCACGCCTCCGACACCGACAACACCGCCTCCAGCGCCACCAGCACCGCCGGCATTGAAGTTACCCGCACCGCCACCGCCACCGGGGAATTGTTGCTGACCGGGACCAGGTCCCGCGCCGCCCATATGCGGACCGCGTTGGCGTGGATACGGTGGCGGGTATTGGTTCATCTGCATGTATCGCATCTTGTTCCAACTCTGGTTAGGCACCTGCAAGCGAAGATGGAGCGTTTGTTAAGTAAACTATCTGCCTTTGAGGCAAAGCGAATAAGGGGAAATTTATCACCCATTTAAACCCAAAGGAAATTTATAATAAAATAATAAAAAATAATGCAACTAAATTACAGTTTCTTGCGTTCACTCACCATTCCTCCCTGGGCCGTGACTCCGGGGGACATGTTGGGTGGCAGGCTTTGAAGCATCATGGCATTCTGCATGTTTGGCATCCGTTGATGGGGTCCAGGACCTGGACCACCGGGTCCGCCTTGCTGCTGTTGCTGCATTAGATTTACCTGCTGCTGCTGATTGGGATTCATCTGCTGCGGACCACCGCTGCCCTGCTGCTGCTGCTGATTCATCATGTGCTGCATCTGCTGCTGCTGTTGCATCACCTGTTGCTGCTGCTGTTGCTGTTGCTGCTGCTGCTGCGGATTCTGGGGTCCATTGCCGGCCTGCTGCTGTTGCTGAGCCAAAGCTCCGCCGCCGGGTCCTGGCGCTCCTCCGCCCGCCGCAGCCGCATTGATCAGCGATTGGTGACTCTGCTGGCGCTGCTTGATGATTGCCGCCATTATCTGCGGATTCTGCTTGAGTATGGTGAGGATGTGCTGGTTACTTTCATTGGTGGGGTTATTCTTGATCTTTTGCATGATCTGGGCCAGTTGCTGGGTGTTCAGTCCGCCCGTTTGGCCGCCACCGCCACCTCCGGCACCGGGCGGCGGTCGTACTCCGCCAGCAGCGCCGGCCATCGATGGTGCGCCCATGCCGCCCATTCCCATGCCACCGTGCTGGCCGCCAACGGTCATTTGGCCACCGCCGAGCTGATTGGGTCCTCCCTGGCCCATCATCTGCTGCTGCTGTTGCTGCTGCTGTAACAGATTCGGCTGCATCAGCTGGCCGGGTTGTCGCATTCCCGTGGCATTGTTGGCATAGCGGGCCTGGGGATTGCCACCGCCTGGATTGCCACCTCCGCCGCCGGCTCCACCACCGCCCCACTGATCCATGGATAGCAGGTTGTTGGCATTCAGGACGTTACCACAGTTTCCGGCTCCGGGAACTCCACCAGGGCCGCCTGGTCCTCCAGCAGGGTTTCCACCACCGCCGCCGGGACCCAACTGGCCGACGCCTACACCGCCAACGCCTCCAACGCCGACACCGCCAACACCAACGCCGACGCCACCGACACCGCCAACTCCGACGCCCATGCCTCCCAATTGATTCACATTGGGATTGGGACCAGGTCCTCCCATCTGGCGATTCATCACAGGCGGTGCCATTGGACCACCTTTGCCGAAGCCACCACCATGGGACACCTGCTGACGGGCCGCTTCCTCCTGGACTTGCTTCACCACTTGCAGAACGTTGGGCGAGGGCGAGTGACCACCGCCAGGCTTCATGCCAATACCGGTTTGATGTGGGTGTGGTGATGTCATTCCACCCATGCCACCGGCACCGCCTGCACCGCCCGAAACCGGTGAGGGTACTGTGACGGTGGAAGGTGACATACCGCCGGCACCCGGTGTCATAATTCCTGCCTGGCCGGGCATCACCTGTTGGCTAACAGCCACACCGGACATGCCCACAACGGGCACTCCGCCGGAAACCACAGCCGGACTGACAGCAGCCGGGCCAGGTAATGCCGCTGAAGTAGCTGTCCGGGACATGAGAGCAACGCGACGGCGGAGTAACTGCTGCTGTTGGAGTCTAAAAATGAGAGAGAAAGGATTGGAGCAATAAGTAAAGGGTTATATGATAAGTTGCTTAAGAGGATAAGGTTGCAATTTCTTGTAGGGAATATAAAGAACTCAACTCAGGGAGTTTGTTATAGAAAAGAATATCTCTGATAAAGCTAACAAGTTACATAAATACAAGTCTTAACAACAAAAACATTATAAAGAGATGAGATTCAACCAAACCAAGAGAAATTCTTGAAAGGAAAACTCACTTCTGCTGGAGCTGCTGCTGTTTGAGCTTGAGCTTGATGTTGTGACAGAAGGGCACTGGACACTTTTGCTCCTGACAGTGCTTCGCATGGTAGCAACAGAGAGCAATGAGCTGCTTGCAAATGGGGCATCCGCCGTTCGTCTTTCGCTTGCAGTTCTTCGTGTGCTGGACAACGCGCTTCATCTTCTGGCAGGACGGCAGGCGACAATTGGCATCGCGACACTGGCATGCGTGCACCAGGGATTGGATGCAACGCTGGATGGACTGCTTCCGGGCCTCCTGTGGATTGGCCTGTTTGTGATCCGCCGGCGCCGAGCCGTCGTCGATGTCGAAGCCGAGCTTTTCCATTCTATGCGGATGACCAACCTTCTCCTTGCACACAATGCACAGATCAAAGTCCTGCGGAGAGTAAGAAAATTATAATTATACATCTATAGAATAAGAACAGCTAAATATAAACAACACTCTTGGCCACTTTAATGAGTCACACATTATCACTATTCGTTTCTAGTTAATAATTATAATTATAAACGTATATTTTGATACCATTGCAGGGTATTATAATTTCAGTCAGAAGTTTGCAACGCTGTAAAGGAGTCATCTCCGACCATTTAAAGTATATATATTCTTGATCAGCGTCAACAGCCGAATCAGTATTTAACTATGGTCAAAAGGTATCTATGATCATTAAGTATCTATGATCAGGAAGTAATTATGATTAGTATATAACGATGATCAGTAAGTATCTATGACCAGTAAGTAACTATGATCAGTAATTAACTCTGAACAGTGAGTATCATGATCAGCAAGTAACTATGATCAGTAATTACCTCTGAACAGTGAGTATCATGATCAGCAAGTAACTATGATCAGTAAGTATGTATAACCAGTAAGTATGTATAACCAGTAAGTATGTATAACCAGTAAGTATGTATGATCAGTAATTAACTTTGAGCACTAATAAACAATGACTTGCGACTTTTGAAACACAACACATTTCTAAGACGTGACTGGTAGGAGTCACTTCGTTCCGGGGATGTTAGAACCAGTTGGGAATCATATGTACAGATGCGCGAGATTTGTTTTGGAACAAATTTAAGCTATTTGAATGAAACTATGAAGTTATTCTTCTATGTAGTTTTACTAGTATATAAATCGGAGCATGGCGAATCGGTGGACTATATATATACATACATATACATATATATAACTGCCATGGGAACGATCGGAAAATTTTAACAAAAATATATTATAACTTTTCCAGTTTTCAACAGATTTTCATTAAATTTGATATATAGCCTTTATATGTTTATCTAGAATTTTATGTTAAATTTCATAAAAATCGGACTACTATATCATGCAAAACAGTGAACGTAAAACTGTAAATATAAAATGTATAGGTGAATGATATCTAAGCAGGCATAACTTTGATTTTAAATATAAATATATATAATTTATATTGGATTAATTCAAAGTGATCGAAGTTTCATCAGCAAAAGTTTATAAACAACGGCGTGCAGAAGTTAGCTTCCTTTATTGTTTTATTTATCAGATCAAAAGATAAATTAGTTTCGTTTTCTGGATTACTTTAGAAAAATATATGTATCCAAAAGTCTTGCACATATCACAGTCCACTCCTTCTAAATTAAATGTTTTATCACAAAAGTTTAAATAAAAAAGAACTATGACAACTCCCGTCGATGAAAACGATGAAGCTGAAGCATATTGTATTCTAATGTCCCATTTTTTCTTTCACGCAAACAAAAATAAATTTAAAAAAATATACATTTATAACTCAAAAATTTAACATTACACAATCATGAGATGCAAACAAACAGCAACATTCTTGATAGTCTTTTCTTGGGGCTGTCCTAGATCTTTTCCAGGGTGTCTTATTCAAGTGGCGTGGGAGTGCTTATATCCGTAAAACAAAACAAAAAATATAGTCAATACTCACATCACAGACGGTGCAATGGTACCGCGTTTCCACAGCGGTCTTGCAATTGTTGCAGGTGTAAACGAACTTGTCCTGGCCTTGGTTATGCAGCTCATACAACATGGACAATGTGGAGAACTGCGCTCGCCGCAGCGACGAGAACTCATAGTGCTTGTCGCGGGCGAGGGTTAGGAAGGCATCGCGTCCGTCCATCAGGTCGCAGGTGAGCAATGGATCGGGATCTTGGATGGGCTGTGGTGGCATAGAAATTTTCAATATAATTAAATTACAATCCTGTAAATGGATGTGAATAGATGTAGGACTCACCGCTAGACTCGCTGCCGACTGTGCCGAGTGCAGACGAATGACAAAGAAGACCTCCTTGTGCTTCTCCATGGTGGCATATATCTTGGCGGAGAGATCATTGCCCGACTGATGCTCATTGGACTTTTTACTATTCTTCCGCTGCGCCGCCTTCGACTTGTTGGACTTCTTGGCCTTCTTCTGTCCCTTCTTCTTGCCATCGCCGCTCACCTCGTTGTCCTCGATGGAGAAGAGCTGATGGATAATTGGGAGATTATTTCTGAAAAGAGATTAGGTTGCATGACACCAACACTTACATTCGCCGCTGCTGCTGCCTCGGCGGCCTCTGCTTGCTTGCGCTTCTCCTCCTCCTCTTGGTCGAGCTCCTTGATGCTCTCCTCGAGCACATTTGGCCAGAAGTCACCCTCGAAGTAGGGCAGTTCGGCGGCAGAACCTAGCTTGTCCTCCATCGCTTGCTTCAGAATATCCTTATAGTCCTGTATGATCCGTTCGATCATGCCCTTGTCGAGCATCTTCTTGTACCATTCCTGCAGGCGTTTGGGCTTTGGGATTTTCTGATCCGTGGGATGACAATGGAAGATGTAGTCATCGCCCTCGGAAGGCGGACAGGCCCAGATATGGGCCATAGTGTAGCCCAGCTGCTTCACATAGTCCATGTAGCCGAGCAGGATTTCATGATACACCGCTGTTCGATATTGTCGCGGCCGGAAGAAGTGAACGGAGTCCAGATATGCGATATACACACGCCTCGTATTCGGTGCCGGGCACTCTGATCCATACTCCTGGACATGCATGCCAAAGAAGCACACATCGATGCCGTCTACCTCCTCGAAAGCGAAGAGGGCCTTTGCCCGATACGGGAACTCCTGCATCATTTCACCGGACTCCACGAAGCGTCTTCGCATTCCCGGTTTCACCTCGACACATTTGTCCGACGAACTGACCACACGAATGTGCACTTCGCCGGCACCAGCCTCCTTCTTCTTCAGGAAATTGTTCACTCGCGTCTCAATGTACACGCCCAGCTTTGTGGTGGGCAATCGCTTGGCATTGAACTTGTTCTCCTTCCGCTTCGAGTTCTTCTTTTTGAGGCAATTGTCGCAGACAAAACCGCCGGGCCATATGGAGTCCAACCAGAGGACACAGATCTGGTGCTGCTTGCGACCGCACTCCTGGCAATCGACGAAGGGCTCCAACTCCAGATGATCGTTCTTCATTTCCTTGAACTGATCCTTCTTGATTTGGCTATATATCATATTAAAGGGTTATAAATAAGTGGGATTAGTTTTTCTCTGATTTTTTGGTGCTTAAATAAGTTGGGAAATAATACTGTTGTCACAACATAGTTTGTAAATATTTGAATTTTAAAATTGAAGCTTAACACCTTTTCTTAAGTAAGGTTTTTTAAACTGTACATAATATATCAAGGAAGGTATATTTAAAAAATAAAAATTCCTTATCTCCTATTAACCTTTATTACTATTATGAAATTACTATACGTGTTTTATAATAATTTGTGATTAGGATTTAATGAATAAATAAAATATTCATTACAAAATTTGATATGTAAAATTTCTTGAAGTTGAAGATGATTTAATTAGATTTAAAGTAATGAAGAATAACATTTTGAATATATTATATTCATTTAGTATAACAATACTTAAGCTTGACTAATAATATTGAACATATTTCAAAAGGAATACAATTTTATTTCTGAAGATTTTCGTAAGATCCGAATAAAAACCCTATTTTATTAAGTTTGAAGTGCAGTATCATATCCGCATTCTAACTATTTTACTATTTATTAACTATTTATTACTATCTAGAATAGCTTCTCTTCTTTTCTTTCTCTTTTTCGTAATATAAATAAATATATTTATTTAATACACTATATATGTATAATTTAAGATAATTCCAATGTTTTATACTCACGTTTGCGACTGCAGTGGATCATCGCCCAGTGTGACCGTATCTCCCTGGATGTCGTTAAAGCACTTTTGGCAGTAGGTGTATCTATTTGAGGCGACACCGTATTCCTTTAGACTGTTGTTTTTTATTCGATCATTTTGATTGTTTTTTAATTGTTTAATTGTTTTGGTTTTTCGTTTTGATTTTTGTGATTTTTGTTGAAGTTTTTAGATTGATGGCCAGAAGAGATGATGTTTTTTGTGTGGACGAAATTTGAAGATGGCAGCCAAAAGGGAGCACAACAACACAGGCCAGGCGTGTGTGGGTGTGGGTGTGTATGTGTGTGGGTGATATGGTTGGTTGAGTGTGTGTCGTGGCGTACAGGTGGTGTGCGTGCAAGCGAGATGGTTATATGCAATGGTTAGTTGTGTGGGTGAGTGTATTGTTGATGTTTTGTTGTTGTTTTCGGTTTTTGTTTTTGTCAATTTTTCATTTTACGCACACACACGCACACAGAAAAACACAGAAAGAGAGAGAAAGAGGAGAGAGCGAGATGATACACACACACATACATATTTTGATAAAGGCACACAAAAAATACAGTTATGAGGCGACACAGGTTAACGGGTATTATTATTATTATTATTATTTGTTATTATTATAATTATTATTTATTAATCATTTGATTATTTTGATTATTTTTTCAATTGTTTTTTTGTTTTGTTGTTGCGGGGCGGAAGGAGTAAGAAAACGAAGAAGATCAACAAAACAAAAATAAAGAAAAAGGAAGAGAGAAAAACAAAAAGTGATTTAATTTGCATTAGAATTTTTTTCACATTAATACAACAATTAAGAGGGTAAAGAATTTATTTATATTTAATCTAAATATCCCACCAACGTGGAGTCTACATTTGATAATTCCCAAAATCATTTTTGAATAAATGGAAAATTACATTTTTTTAAAAAACTTGGCCGAAAAATCGATATATCGGTACCGTAATAATACAAATCGACACATTAAGATACATTACAATATGCATGATAAAGAAATATTCAATTTCTTATATATTTGGATTAACTAATATAAGTAAAAACAAATACAAATAAATAAATAATTTGATATTTCAAATATAGAGTAATTTTTTTGCATTAATCTCGTTTTCTTATTTTCGATATACTCTTTCTTAATCAGAATAATTTTTGAAATTATATGTTGGGATATTTAGACACAAATATTGTAATCGAGATCTGTTCTTAATTTCGTTATTTTTAAATAAAGCTATATTTACAGGTACCATTTTGAAGAAATCTTAAAGAACAGATCACGATATATATATAAATCTATATATTGATTGGACTATTTCCATTTTTTTGTGGTTAACGTTTTTGGGTTCGTTTTGTTTGGTTTTCTGGCTACTCGAAAATGTGGAATGTTAGAAATCAGACTTGGACTTGGGATTGGGTTGGACTTAGTCCGAATATTGATTGAATGGTCATGATGGATCGGTGGATGCATCAAGCGCTGGAGCAAAAGCGGCGGTAAAGGATATTAAGGACATTGTGTATGTGTGTGTGTGTGTGTCGGTTTGTTAAATACTTTCCAATTTACGTTGTGCAATGTGCAACATTTAAGGCTTCTATGTACACAGCAATATTAAGGATAACACACAGAAACACACAGAAAACACAGAGACTGAGAGGGACAGAGAGAGAAAGAAAGGGGTAACAGGAGAGAGCGAGCAAGGATCAGGATCGGGATCAGGATCGGAAGCCTTTGAATTAGTGCTTAAAACGGACAGAAGCTGAAAAGCAGCCAACGGACGCTTGAAAGCCAGCGATCAAGCCAGAGGAACTGCTTCGGTTTTCACAATGTTTTTTCGTAAAGAAATCATATTTACAGTCTAGAAACTAGAACCGAAACAGACCTCTGAGCATTAGGAACATTAATAAAGGAGAAGCAAGCGAATTATCTTCTAAATTACATTTCACATCGAACAGAGAAACAGAGAAACGAAACCGAAACGGGAACAAAAACAGTGTCCACGTGAGAGTCAAGCAAGGATCCTCAAAATGCAGGTCAGCTTGCAACATTAGCAACATAAAACATACCTGTTCTGGTAGCTGTAGTACTTGGCATCCCGCGGAATCGTACACAGTTGCTTGCCGTAGCAGCAGAGCACCTGGGGATTGAAGGTGTACTTCCTGCCGCAACAATAGCCCAGGGCCTGCATCACTGGATCGATCTCCGCCTCAAAGACCTCGGATAGCTAGAGGAGAGAGTAGAGAATGTGAGTTAACTTTCCTCCGGTTATTAGGTTAATATAAGGCAATCCACTCACCTTTGTGCAGTAGCGATACACCCGTGATGTCTTGCGATTATACAGCCAGGCATTGTCGAACATCAGCCACACATCGTCCACATACTCCCAGGGATCACTGTATTTGCCATTCTGGATGTTAGTTCGAATGGTGCCCAGATCCATGGGCTTCTTGACGATCTCAAAGTAATCGGGTATGCCCAATGCCTGCGGATCGACGGGATAACGAAATGGCCCAGACTCGGGCTCCTGTCGATAAAGCTTCTCCAGTGTAGGCAGCAAAGCTGTGCGGAGCTCTTCGGGATTGAATTCTATATAGAGGAACATAGGATTAGTTGCGAACAAAGGTAAGATATAAAAAACACTCACGGCATTTCTTTTTCTTGTCTCCGGCAGTGGGGCAATGGGTTCCGGCACCAGAGGCTTTGTATCCGTCTTGGGCTTGATATCCACGGCACTGCCTGCGGCTCCACCATCGTGAGCACCATTGATATTATCCTTGCCGCCACCAAGACCACTACCGCCGCTTCCATCACCGCCGGCGCCATCGTGATGACCTCCGGCTGTTGAGCCACCTGCCTTATCCACATCCATGGCTTCGGTCTTGATCTTGACATCACTATCGACACCATCCTCCGTCTTGATCTCCATTTTGATCATGCTGGTGCCGTCGTTGTTCACGTTCTTGCCCTTGCCGCCACCCGTGGAGCAGTCCATTTGGGAGCTGTCGTTGTTGCCGCCACAGCTATCGTCCATGAACTCCTTCTTGATGTCGTCCTCCTGCTTAATCGAGTCCAACTTGCCCTTGGAGGCCATACCGCCGGCATTGCCACTGCCGCCGCTGCCATTGGTATTCTCATTGGAGGGCGAAGGTGTATCCTCGTCGTTGTCTCGCTGCGCAGCCTCCAGAGCGGCCATCTGTGAGGAGAGATTGCTGGAGCTACTCATCATACGACTGCTGGCAGACATAGATGTGGTTGTCGTCGCTCCCGTTCCACCTCCCGCTCCACCGCCTGACATCAGAAGCAGGGGATTGCTGGCAGGCGTCGTGGATCCTCCACTGCCACCGCCGCTACTGCTGCTGGAAGCCATCGTAGCTGACGTGGGTGTGGATACCGAGGAAGAGGCACAGCTAAGCGGTGTACCCGAACCTGCCGAAGATGTCGAGGTCGTTGTGGTAGCTCCCGCCGCTGCTGTGGCTCCACTGCTGCCGCTGCCACTGCCACTGCCGGCACTAGCACAGGACGCAGCCGCCGCTGCTGCTGATGCGGGCGTGCTGCTTGCCGCTAAACCGGAAGCACTTGTCGCCGGCACTGGGGAGGCGGGTATGTAAGGAGGTGTGGACGCTCGATTGCTCAGCGGCTGTTGCATCAGACTGCTCACTGAGGGCGGGTTGTTGTTGGCACTACTGCTGCTGTTATTGTTGTTGTTGTTGCTGTTGGAGGGCGTGCCAATCGATGGGCCATTGGACAGGAAGCCAGGCGAGGGGCTCGGAGCTGAAACCGTAACATTGGAGGCCGATCCTCCCGTTCCCGCTGCTCCAGCCCCCGCAGTCAAGGCCTCCAGGCTCGTAGGCGTCGGCGGCATGTTGTTCATCACACTGCCGGGCTTCTGTTGCTGCTGCTGTTGCTGTTGCTGCTGCTGCTGCTGTTGCGGTTGCTGTTGCATCGGCGAACTGAAGCTGTTGCCGCCTTGTGTCTGCTGCAGGGGTGTGGCATTACTGAAGGGCGACTGCGGCAATAGCATTCCCTGTTGCTGCTGCTGCGCCGCCTGTTGCTGCTGCTGCTGCTGGTGAAGATGTCGTTGCTTCATCATCTCGCTCAGCTGAGGATTGGCTCCCGTGCCGCCGTTCGCATTGATGAACTGCTGCTGCTGCTGCTGCTGCTGGCCCGGCACGGGACTGGTGAGCACATTGGTCGTCTGATACGGCGATAGCGCCGGATTGACCACCATGCCGCCGGGAGAGGGTCCGGGTGGACCCACCAGCATGTTACCAGCTCCAGAGCCGGGAGGTTGCTGTGGCTGTTGCTGCGGGAACTGCATGCGCTGCTGTTGCTGCAGGGTGAGCATGTTGCCGCCGGGCGAGTGACTTCGCATCGTCACCATGTTGTTGGTGACTCCGACGCCCACGCCAACGCCGACGCCCATGCTCACACCCGACTGCTGGCCCACCATTCCGGGTGGACCCTGTGGACGCAACTGCTGCGGCGGCATAACGCCGCCCATGGGACTGATGATGGGACGGACGCCGGCCTGGACAGGTTGCTGACCCGGCTGCTGCTGCTGTTGCTGCTGCTGTTGTTGGGATAAAACGCCTCCTACGGCTCCGGCGCCACCGCCAGCTGCACCGCCGGCACCACCAGTCGCTCCTGCAGCTCCAGGATTCGCAACACCCTGCTGCTGCATCAGCATCTGCTGGTGTTGCTCCTTACGCTTCAGCCGCTTCTCCTCCAGCTCCTTCTGGATCTTATAGATCTTCTCCGCTAGCAGGTGATAGTATTCTGACCTGGATTTCGCCATCTCGTACATGTCCTTCTCGACCTTTTCCGCATAGGAGACAAGGTTATGCATACGCTTGTCCTGCATTGTCGTGGGATCAGAGGTGGGGAAGATGGCCTGTACTAGTTTGTGGACGAGATGGTTGCGCAGATCGGCGGTCACCATGTCGCGCCAATCCTTCTCGCTGTCACCGGAAGGTCCAGAGCCTCCGCCACCTCCGCCAGGGACGGCACCACCGCTGCCGCCGCCGCCGCCAGCTCCCGCTCCAGCATTCTGGTTGGGATTGCTAGCGTTGCCGCTTCCCGTGGTATCCGCTGGCATCAGGACACTGGAACCGGTAGCCACCTGCTGGCCACCACTCGCGCCAGCACCTGCGGCTGCACCGCCAGCGCCGCCTACGACATGGCTCTGCGGATGGACCTGCGCCACCTTCAGCTGCTGCTTATCATTGGCCCCTCCGCCGGCGCCGCCTGCGCCAGCTGCTGCTCCACCGAAATTGGCATTGCCAAAGCCTCCGACATTGACGGAGAGTGGTGCTGGAATGTTGCCACCCAGCTGGGCGGGATTGGGTTGCTGCTGCTGCTGCTGCTGCTGTTGTTGCTCCACCATGTTGGGCAGGCCACCACGTCGTCGATTCTGGCCCTGCTGTTGCTGCTGTTGGAGCATCTGCTGCTGCTGCTGTTGCTGCTGCAGGCTGTTGACGTCGTTCGGCAGGACATTGGGTCCACTGGGTCCAGGACCAGGTCCTAGAACCCTAACCGCCGGCGGAGCACCCTGCATGCGGATGCCCGGAGGCAATCCCTGCTGTTGCTGTTGCATTCCGCCGGCAGTTACGGGAGAAAGTCCCACCTGACCCATGCCATCGAAGCGACGGAGTTCCTGCTGCTGAACCTGTTGTTGGTGAACCTGCTGCTGCTGCTGCTGTTGTTGTTGCTGTTGTTGGGCTAATTGTTGGGCCATATCAGCTGGTGTCTTTGGCGCGCCAGGTGTTCCGCCCGCTCCTTGTTGTTGCGGTAGGACTATCGCAGTATTCTGACCTCCGCCGGGCGCCACCTGCTGTTGCTTGCCATCCACAACCAAGCCGGCCATATTGGGCTGTTGATTCTGTTGTTGTTGCTGCTGCTGCTGCTGCTGTTGTTGCTGCTGCTGCTGTTGCTGTAGACTTCCGGCTGCTCCACCGGCAGCTCCTCCACCACCGCCACCAGAGCCTGGCGCGGCTACAGCATTCCCACCTGCCCCACCTGGCGGCACATTGGTATTCTGAAAGACCGAATGATTTTGTCTGAAGGGATAGCAAATGATGCAGGCACTGTTGGTGCAGGTTTTATAATGTAACAGGATCTGACGTGAGGAGGCGCAATGCTGCATTGTGCAGTCTTTGCTCTGCTTGCAGGTGCCCATGTGGGCCAGTACGGACTTCATCGCCTTGCAATAGTTGACGTTGCAGACCTCTCGATTCGGATTAAGGTTTTCGCGCCGGTTGCACTTATGCGCATGGAGAAGCAGCATCAGTTGCTGTTGAATCTGTCGTTTGCGATCGTCGGGCACGTCACGATTGGCTCCACCGGGGCCACCTGCAACGCCAGCACCTACAGATCCACCACCAGCAACAGGTGGCACGCCAGCGCCGGAACCGGCTCCTCCGCCAGCCACAACTCCCGCTCCACCCAGTCCAACACTAACTCCGACTCCCTGCTGCTGTTGCTGCTGAGACGTTCCCGGTTGCTGCTGCTGCTGTTGCTGCTGCTGTCCGGGATGACCGAGGAGCTGGGTTGGTTGGGGCGGGCGCGAAGCCATGGTTCCGGATTGCTGCTGTGCCAGCATCTGTTGCTGCTGGGGATTACCACCTACTAGTTGCCCAGCTGGCACAGACCCATCCCCGCCGAGAGTGGACATGGGCACCACAGTTCCCACGGGTCGATTTCCCTGCGGCATTCCTGGAACAACACCGCCTCTTTGCGCCATCTGCTGTGCGAGAAGTTGCTGCTGCTGCTGCTGCTGTTGCTGGGGATTGTTGCCGCCACCGGGTCCACCATATTGACCCACTCCGTAAGGTAGACTGTTGAGTTGACCTAAAGAATGTTCAGAATGAAAGGATCCTTCATTAATACCGACTCTATGAAAGGAAGGCATCGCAAGAATCTTACCCATTTGCATGTTGGGATTTTGCATCCGTGGTCCTCCCCCTCCGGGACCGTTTCCTGGACCTCCAGCTCCTCCCGCGGCGCCCATTAGATGCGGTCCACGTAGCATATGCTGCTGCCCAACCATACGTCCCATCATCGGCCCGTTCTGCATATGCATGCCTTGGTTTGGCGTCACACCGCCTGCACCGCCGCCTGCTCCTACACCGCCGGGTCCTGTTCCGGGTCCTCCAGGTCCTGGCACGGACACTGCATTGATCATACCGCCGCCACCGCCGCCGCCAGGCTGCTGCTTCAGCTGATTGACCATGCCGCCCATGCCACTGCCAACGCTATTGGTCAGCACCATGTTGCCCAGATTACCCTGAGCGATGGTGTTCATGCCTAGCAGAGATTAGGGGAAGAGTTATTAAGCATATTCCCTTTGCCGGTTGCTGCTTCAAGGACTCACCTGGTATGGCATTCATGCCATTGTTGCCATTATTCGATATGGACATTGGCATCGAGTTGACCATGCCCATCTGAGTGCCCACCACTTGCTGCATGCCGCCCTGATTGGGCGACTGCAGGTTGGGCGACTTACTGCCGAGTTGTTGCATTCCGGGCACCACCATGGCCCCCTTTTGGCCTTGCTGCTGCTGCTGCTGCTGCTGCTGCTGTTGCTGTTGCTGGAGCAGATGCTGCAGCTGCTGATGATGCTGCATCTGACGCAATTGACTGCCGGCATTGCCACCTCCAGAGCCATTGCCGCTGCCATCATCGCCGCCAGTACCGGAGCCACCGCCGCCGCCGGCTCCGTTCATTTGGGAAGGCACAACGCCGACACCGACGCCAACAACACCGACACCCATGCCGCCGACACCGACACCGACACCAACACCAACGCCACCGGGTCCTGAGCCCGGTCCTGGTCCTTGTGCTGGTGGTTTATTGGGTCCGCCGCCTGCATTTGGTCCGGATGTGGAGTTTGTGGTCACGCCGGAGGCGCCGCCGCCTCCTCCGCCGTTACCGCCACCGGTTAACTGATCCGACCAGCCGCTGTTTGAGGACACCAGCTCATCGGGCAGATTCTCCTCCAGAAAGTAGGAGATGTCAGCTGTGGCTAGAGCAAGTTACGAGGTTAAATCAAGAATTTTTTACAAGGGGTAGGAGGTTCTCCAAGAAAGCAAGGTACGAGCTTAGTGATTGATCTTCATAATTATATATAGTATGTAATTAGGAAGTTATCCTAAGATTCAGCTTGAAAAGCATTAAATTTGACAACTCTCAAGTCGAGTTTATGCTGTGTACTTTGATTTTCTTGTCAGAATTCCGATTTTTTGGGGGGAAATAAAGAGGTCTATTGGATTTCTACTCACTTGGATCCATTTTGACCCGCTTCTGAGGCGGTTCGTCTAAGTGATCGGCCATCATATAGATTTAGTTTGCTGTTCGTTGTTGCTGCTCTTGAGGGCAGCAAGCCGAAACCGAAAATGTGGAGGAAAAAATTGACCAAAGAAGGGAAAGCACTTCTCCTTTCTTCTGGCTGCTCCTTGCTTTCTAGGCTTCACGTTTTGGGTTTTTCTTGGTCTTTGCTGTTCACGTTTTTTAAATTTTTACGGTTTTTTTTTCAATTTTATTTGTTGAGTAGAGCTGAGGTTCGTCTTATGACTTCCTTTCTTGTTTTCTTTGCGCGGGCAGTTTTTCTCTTTTTTATTTCTTTCGTTCGATTTCCCTTTTTAATATATTTTTGTTTGACAGTTGCACAGAGGTTGTCAAAAATGATATCGGTTGTTGTTCGATGTGTGTGTGTGTTTTTATTTTTTAGATTAATCGAACACTTTGCAACACACGGGAGGTAAAACACACACAACAAACATACACTGACACACACACAGAAGCACGCACGCACTCGGATTTAGAGGCACTCAAATGGCGTGCACCAACACTGGCTGGCTGGCTGGGATTGCGATTGCGATTGCGATTGCGTTTGGGACTCCTTGTCCTTGGATTGGCTTCAATAGCTGTTGCCACAGCTGGAGCTGGAGCTTCGAGGTAGCTGCGGAGTATACTCCTGCTTTTGATTCCGATCCTGTAAAGGATCCCGCTGGCGCTGGTTCTGCTGATGCTGCAGCTGCTGCTGATGCTGCTCCTGCTGATGCTACAGCTGATTCGGGGCCGGTGGCCAGCAACGTGGGCGGTATCGGCGCTATCGTCACCGCGACGACGCCCGGCGGGCACCACCTTGTTGCTGTCGTCCAAATCCAGGATACAGATCCTGGAGGACCACGCAACCACCAACGCCTCCTCGTTGCGGCGCCGTTGAGATCGTTGTTGTCGTTGTCGTTGCCGCCGCCGCCACCAGCCCGCACCAGGTGTTGTTCCCGCTGCTCCTGCTCCTGCTCCTGCTCCTGCTCCTGCTCCGGCTCCTCCTGCACCTCCTGCTCCTGTTGCTTCTGCTCCCGATCCTTGATTGCTGCCTCCTGCTCCTGCTCCTGTTGCTGTTGTTCAAAGTTGTTGCTGCTGCTGATGCTGTTGCCACTGCTGCTGCTGCCGCTGCTGCTGCCGTTGTTGTTGCAATTGTTGTTGGTCGAACAGCAGCAGACACACGCGTGCATTTTGTGTTGTTGGGCCCCACACCAAAAGTTGACCTTGGTTGGGCGCGCTGCTTGTGTTGTTGTTCCTCCTCCACCTCCTGCTGCTTCTGTTGCTGTTGCTCTTGTTGTTTTTGTTACTATTGTTAATGCCGTTGCTAGTGGAAGATGATGTGTTGTTGCCGTTTTGTTTATTATTATTATTATTACTTGTTGTTGTTGTTTGGTGCTACGAAGTTAACGGTTGTTTCTGATGCTGCTGCCTCTTCCTCAACTTTTGCTTCGTCGCTCCTTTTTCGTTCTCTCTTGTTTCATTTTTTTTGCTTCTTATTTTTGTTTGTTTTGCTTGCAATTTGTTGTTAATCTTTTTTGGCGGCTTTTTTGTTTTGTTTTTGTATGCGATTCTTCAGTTTTTTTTGTCGAACTTATAGTTGTATATAGATAATATAAATATTCTCTTACTGCACTTGATTCCTTTCATTTAATTTTGTTTTGGGTACAAAAAAAAAGCAATTCACATGTTGGCTGTTGTTGTTGTTTCTGTTTGTTTTTGTTACTGATGCTGCTGCTGCTGTTGCCGTTGATGTTGTTGCTTCTTCCTCCGATTGCCACTCTAACATTGCACATAAACTGTAGTGATACAAAAAACAAAAACAAAACAAAAGAAATCAAAATATTAACGCACATCCTATTAGAATTTTGCAAACAACAAATCGCACAGAGAAATATGTGTCGAAATCAGTATTTATTTATTTTTTTAGCCGCGCGCGAGTAGGAACGAAACGGGAAAAGGGAAACGGGCGAAAAGGGAACGAACGTTGCGAGTGCGAGGCGAGGAGAATTCTCTTGTCTGTGTGCCTGTGCTCCTCTTCTTTTGCCGCTTGACGACCACTCGCTGTCTCGGTCAGCTCCGACTGCTGTGGGAGCGTGTGTGCGTGCTGTTGTTGTTGTTCTTGTCTCGCAATTATTCGCCAAAACTCGCTACTTGGCGCAGACGTGTGTGTTTGTCTGTGTTCGCCTCTCGCTCTTTTGGCACACACACGAAAAGGAAAATAATAAAACCTATTTTGCCGCCAGGCCCACAAAACAAGTGCCGTGGAATTATTTTAAATTAGCAAATTTACTAAGAAAAAATAACCACATTTTTTTTAAGAAGATTGAAAAAAATTTTATATTTAGCTAAAATATCTTGGAAATTTTCCCTTTACTGCGGAACACAAATTCCCTAAAATCTATCCATGGACGCTAGAAAAAATTCCCTATAAATCCCTGCCAACCGATTGGCGGTTAATAGAGTTAATTTTGCCGAAAAAAGTCGCCGTATTTTGGTTTTGCTTCCGCATTCAGAGCGGCCATCATATGAAATTCAATTTGTTGGGGCGGCGAGTGGCGAGTGGCACCCGAGCGGGACGGACATAGTGGGGCTGCCCGACAAAAAGCTTTCATTCGCACACGCACACACTAACAAGGCTCCACTAGCACACGCACGCACACTGGCACAAAGAGATGGGCGCGCGTACAGAAATTCTCTCAGAGACGACGTTTTCTCCACACACACGAGCTCTCAGCACTCAGGCACACGTAGCGAGTGTGCCAGCACGAGCACGAGTTCGACAGAGAGAGCAAGAGCGGAGAGCTCTCGCGACGCGTGCACTGGTAGTGGTAGCAAGCGGCATTGGTGTGCATACACACACGACGGTAAGCGGCAACGAGTGCGAGGAGCATTGGAAAAAGAAAGAAAACAGACGACAGAAATATATTCCATTTTTTTCTGTGTCCGCTCGCTCCTCCGCTCGTCGTTTTTCGTTTTTCGTTTTCTTCTTCACGTCGTATCAAAGTTTCTATTGCAGAAATTTTTGTGTTGTGTCGCCAGCGTTTTGATTTTTCACAACCGGCACAAAAATCGCAAAATTATTTGGAGAAAAACCGAAATTCGGCAAAATGCCGAGGAAAATTTGAAAAAAATTTCGCCCAAATCCGAGCCGGGCATTAATTTTTTCAAACTCAACCGTTTGCCACGCACCAAATTTTGTAATATTCTGCGAATTTTCGCCGAATTTCGAATTCATACCACCGATTTTTCACATTTTCCGTCGATTTTTAAAAATTCCCACTAGCTTTTTCGCACACTAAACAAAAAATTTCCAGTCCGCTTTGTTACCGTCTTCTTGCGCGTTTCGTTTTGGACTGAATCCACAAAGTCCACGATCCACACGGCATAGTTTGGGTCCACTTTACAGTCTCGGTTGTGCATTCTACACGCTAGCAGCAGTGGGGTCGAATTCTCGCAAAAGGCCGAGAGTGGCGTCGAATTCTCAAAACAAACGCGAGACGGCGTCGAGTTCGTGTAAAATTCGGCCAAATGTTGTTGCGTTTGTATGGCATACACACGCAGTGTTGTTGTTTCAGCTTTTTTCCCGCCAGATTTGGCTGAGAAAGTGTGATAGCGAGGCGAACTAAAGGTTAATTACAAGCGGAAACAACGCTAAATCCTTAGATAATACCCTTATAAAAGGCGATAATAAATTAATGCGAGCTTAAAAAAAAAACTAGACACAAGAATCTAATTAAAATGCATCCTGACAAATTTTTTTCAATAATTAGTCCTAGAATATAGCACAAAACAACGATAAATCCTTAGAAGATCCCCTTCTAAGAAACGAAAATAAATTAATGGGAGCGGAACAAAATAAACCAGACACAAAAATGTCATTAAAAATCCATCCGAATAAGAGAAATTAAAGAAAAAGAAATTAACGCAAGTGTAGAGGCCTAAAATATAGCACAAATTTAATTAAATACCCTCAACAAATTAAATACTATGATGAAATAACGCCTAAAATGAATATTCTTAAGTTTGGGCTTACACATTTTGTGGATCTAGCTATTTTACTCATAATGAAATGACATCACTACTGCTATCACCTTAGTCACGCTGTTGTTCGAACACCGCTGTTAGCCCTCTGTTAGCCTGTAACAAAGAGTGATTGTCCGCTCACGCCACACACGCTCTCTGAGAGCGGCGCGAGTGCGCGTAATATGGCGCGCCAGATAACGAAACAGCGAGAGGCGCCCAGTGATGAGCATTACTCACCAGTAACAATCGGCAAAATATTTTCAAGTCACTGCTTTTGCGGAATTTTAAACTAGCACACACAAGTAGAATAATGGAAATGAATTTGACTGTAAAATCAAATCAGTATGGCCTTAACTTCTTGGAAAACTTGATAGAGAAAAAAAACCGATTTATAAAATTTGAAAATATGAATAAGGAATTTTTATAAGGAAAGGTTTTTCGCTTTTGTTGTAAAACATACCTTAATGAATAATAATCGCGTGTAGGTAGTGTGAGTCATTAGTAAATACAAATATTCTAAAAACATATTGTAGTTTACCGATTGTTTGTCAAAAAATCCTTTTTCCGCCAATTGACCACAGTCTACATTTGAAGTCAAATAAATAAAAAATATTTTGAATATTTATATTTGGACAGCCCTAAAGAAAGATAAATAAAGAAAGATTCAAATAATGATTCAATAAGCCCAACAAATAGACAAACAGTTCTTTAAAAGTAAATAAAAAACATATTCACAGAGCGAAAACAAAATATAAGTAACTAGATTAGCGCATCTCTAATGAGCGGGTTTTCTGCTGGCTCTCGCCGCGAGCAAATGAGAGCGGAAGAAAACAGCGGCCATAGGACGCAGCACTATCGTCGTCCTTGTCTGACGAACCGGTGGCCATGCAAACAACGCAGAGAACAAATTAATTTCAAATTGTTCAATAAATGCCCCAATACGTAGCCCATCGCCCATTTTTATGGCCAGAATAAATCTTTGG